AACACTTTGAAAAATGTGGCTTACATGAAAGTATTTCTGTGTAGTACAACATCTCAACTGTAGCATATTATTTTCTCCTTTGCAATATAACCAAAGAGCCTTTAGTAAAGTTTTCTGGCTACCCAGTATTTTTATCATGAAAGGCTTTGCTTGTTTTTCAAACACATTCATGACTATCGTATTGTGATACCCTTCCTTGCTTAACAGACTCATTTTAAATAATTGTAGTAAATTCAATTTTTCTCTAGATCTTTTCATATTTTCACACTTAACCCTATCATTATTTATAACCTCTAAATTTTTCCCATTTACTTTCAAAATATGTCTAGTGATACAGTCCCAGCTTTGAGTTACTTCCAAGTTGCTAAGGAAGTAACTACCCAGGTGTGTTTTTGCTTCTTCCCAATTAGCATTTTCTAGTATTATAGTGAAATTCTTTTTACAGTGTCTTACATCACGCTTCGTACTACTGTGATTATAGTAGTTTAAGCCGATCAAATCTTTTTTTCTTTCAAAATTATTTTGGTTGCTGAGTGACTGGTGGTTACTTTCATAACACTCAGAAACAATTTTTTTCATATCCACAATTTTTGTATCATCTTGTAACTTTTGCTTCTTAACATCAGGTCTATTTTGGGACCAGTAAATGTTTGTGAAATCCCTAACATATGCCTCAGATTTGTCATTCTTTTTCTCTGCTATTTCCTTTAAATAGACAAAGGACATTTTGCTATTTAAATCAGATGGAAAATTAGGGATTCTCATTGTGCTACGAGCTCTAAAATAACTTGGTTTAGCAATTTCCAAGCTGGGCTGGTTTGGGGATTTTGATATTTTTAGTATAGATGATGAAACGTTATTTTCTTTTATATTTGATGACATAACACTGTCAACGTTACATCTGTTCCCAATTTCATGAGACGATGATTTAGCTTCCCTGAAAAAGGTAACAGCTAAAAACGGATTTTCTGCCTGCCTTACGTAACCCTTGCCTCTCGGGACATCGTCTCCCTCTTGGACTAAATGCCGTTTTCCCGCCTCAAGTTGTGCGCGGGGCACAAGGTGTCCGATTTCTGCTTGGGCTTTGACCCTGAAGCGCTCTCCCACCCGCTCTATACCGCAGGGTGCTGGCTCGGACCCTCCTGGAGCCCCCAACCCACAGTCTGAACTTCCTGAGGGGCGAGCCTGCCCACAGCTGTTCCTCTGAAATTCGCCCAGTGGGCATCCCTGACGACCTATCTGCTTCTCGTTGACGGATTTCTCCACACAAGAATCTGTGGCGTCGTCAAAAATCGCACTCTTTAAAAAGAGGAGCGCCTTGAAGGGTCTGGGCGACAACTCCCAGGCTTTCTCCTCCTCAGTCAAGCGAGGCACCCATGGCAGCTGCCACCCCGCCTCAGGGACACCACCAGACTGCTCGAGACGGAGCCGCTTGCCGCTGGGTGGTTGAAAACAGGCGTCTTCAAGAGGAGGTGAAAGATTGGCAGGCCGCCTGAGCCGGGCAGGCCGCGGCGTGCGCTGCGCGAACGACATGACGGCGAAGCGTAGCTATCTGTCGGAGGTTCCAGGCAGGTTCCAGGAATTTATCAGGAGCGAGGCGGATTCGCCCCGCCCCCGTTGCCGCCTCGGACACACCCCGGACACGCCCCTGCAATCCTGGCCTGGGCTCTGATTTAAGGAATGCCCCGCCCCGAACCCGCCCTTCCTCCACCCGGTCCCGCCCCTTTTCGCCGCGCCTTGCCCCCTCCCAACCATGGAACCCGCGCGCCCGTCGGAGCCTAGAACCATGGGAGCCGTTACAAGGTCTATTTTTAGCGATATTTCGAATGCCGCTGGTGTAACGGTCTTCCACTCGCGTGATTCCATGGGAGAGTGCAGGGAGATGTCAGAATCTGCATTTGTGAAGGAAACCATTTTAGTTCAAAAATTCTAAAATTCCGTTCTCCTCAGAAGCGGTTTCTCCGCAGTTGCCGGCGTGACTTGTCCGGTTATGTAAACGCGATGCCCGTCGTCCTGTGAGGAAAAAAGTTTTTAATCTCCACAGCGACTCTTAAAATCAGATTTCCACCTCCACCGCGTCCACCTAGAGAGCGGTTTTTGGTTTTGTGTTTGTTTCTGACGGGGAAGGGGAAGCACTGGTACTTAGAAATCTGAACATCAGGGAAATGTGTTTCAAAACTATTATCTAGGTAACTACTGAAGACCGAAAACTTAATTTTCGTGGGTACTGCGAGGGTTTCTTCCAGAATATGGTGGGTGAAATTCTTAAAGATAAAAACTACATGTTTGAACTACTCCAATTAATGTAAGCACAAATAGCATAATTCTGGGTCAGACCTGATGACAAATTTTTAAATACTCTTTCTTCTTTTCCCTCTGCTTTGAAAATCATTTCTTCATCATTTGCAGTCAACTCTGATTTTTCTCTATTCCAGGATTACAAAGAAGAATACTAATTTCAAAATATTCAGTACCTTATATATATATTAATAAACATAAATATTGATTAGTAATTTAAAACCTCAATTCTCTTGAATGGTTGTTTCAGAGCTGGCATTTTTTGTTTGTTTCTGAAAATTTGTAAGAATACACAGCAAGAATCCTGATTTCAGAACTCATGGAAGCGTATATGGCAATATATGACTAGCATACTACCTTAGGTAATAAGATGTTCAGCCTCATGTCTTTGCTTAGATACATTGTGACTCCAGTTCTAGGCATTCACTGTTACAGGGGTTTGTAAAAGTCTCCAGAAAGATGTTTGCTTAGATTTGTGGAAAGCTATTCAGCCTAGCACTCCATCAACACTAAGAATGTGGCAGCGATTCAGATTACACATCAGTTGAGTGTGCGGAGGGCTTCCTCTACATATTTTAGGTTCCACTGCTTTTTTAATCCCAGGTTTTTCCACAAAACTACATTCCACTGTAATGCAACCTGTTCTATGCCTGTGATCAGCCCATTAGGACAGACTTGTATGGTTAAAGTGGATGTAATTGGGGCACAAGTGTGATAAGTAGTTTTTCAGAAGCAAGTTTTTTTTAAGATTTATTTATTTATTATTTATTTGAAAGACATAGTGACAGAGAGAGAGGGAGAGACACAGAGAGAGAAAGGTCTTCCGTCCATACTCTGATTCACTCCCAAATGGGCCACAATTTCCAGGGCTGGACCAGGCCAAAACCAGGAGCCTGGAACTTCATCCATGTCTCCTACATGATGACTGAGGCCCAAACACTTGGGCCATCTTCCACAGCTTTCCGGGGTATATTAGCAGGGAGCTGGATCAGAAGTGTAGCAGGGGACGGTGCTACGGTATAGCAGATGAAGCCGCTGCCTGTAATGCCAGCATCCGATATGGGTGCCAATTCCAGTCCCAGCTGCTCCACTTCTGATCCAGCTCCCTGCTGATATGCCTGGGAAAACAGTAGAAGATGGCCCAAGTCCTTGAGCCCCTGCACCCATGTGGGAGACCTGGAGGAAGCTCCTGGCTCCTGACTTCAGATTAGCCCAGCTCCAGTCATTGAAGCCTTTTGGGGAGTGAACCAGTGAATGGAAGACCCCTATCTCTACCCTGAATCTCTAACTCTGCCTTTCAAATAAAACAATAATTAAAAAAAAAAAAAGGAGAGAAGAAGAAAGAAGAAGAAGGAGAAGGAGAAAGAGTAACAACTAGGGTTCATATGGGATGAGGGGTCCCAAGTGGCAGCTTAACCCATTATACCACAAAGCCAGCCCCAAGAACAAGTTTTCTATTTGCAAAGTAAATGCCATAACTTTTATCATTTCTAAATTAGTATGTAGTTAATGTTTGGTGATTTCTTCATCTTGCTAATTTTCCTAAGAATACACTATTTTTAGATCCCCATCATATCATTATTAACAACCATACATGGTTGAAAGACTAGAAAATTCAAGTAAAACCAAGAAATATTAAATTTAATTCGATCACTAATTGAGAACTATGTCCAAGACACCATTGGGTGTAAAGAAATGTGCAGGTTTTTCTCTATGCTGAAATCAAAGACGACCATAAAAAAAGTCTCCTTGTTTAATGTTCACTTTTTTTAAGATTTATTTATTTATTTGAAAGCCAGAGTTACACCGAGAGAGGAGAGGCAGAGAGAGAGAGGTCTTTGATCCGCTGGTTCACTCCCTAACTGGCCACAATGGCCAGAGCTGTGCCGATCCGTAGTCAGGATCCAGGAGCCTCTTCCAGGTTTCCCATGCAGGTATAGGGGCCCAAGGACTTGGGCCATCTTCTACTTTCCCAGGCCATAACAGAGAGCTGGATTGGAAGCAGAGCAGCCAGGACTCGAACCAGCACCCATATGGGATAGCAGCGCCTTTGCTGCTACACCACAGTGCCGGCCTTTTAATGTTCACTTATATAAAAATATAGTCAATGTCATTTCAAATAATGCCTATAGAAACTTAAATGTGTTTTTCTTGATTTTTTAAATGCTATCATGAGAATAGACCAGCTATATATGAGAAATGTATAAAGTTATATCTTCAACTCATAACTAGGATGTAAATGCGATTCATCAAATCTTAACTGCACTTAAAGCCCATTTCAAATGTCAGATTTTTTGTTTCACTTTCCATAAGCTTTTTAAATGTGATTTTATTATTAAGAGAACAGATATCATGTATTTCATAGATACAGTTCTATGAAGATAACCATGCTTCCCTTCCTCCTTCCTTTCTCCCCCTTCCCCCTTCCTTTCTTTCCTTTTGCTTTTCCTTTAATTTTTGCAATAATATGCTTTCAATTTACTTTATAAACACGGGCTTAATCCTCCACTAACCCTATCATTTTACCTGCCTATCCTTTGGAGTCACTTTGTTAGAGTCGACCGCCCGAAAAACGTCACCAAGAGACACGTCTCTTATGCAAACAGCACGGGGAAGTTTTATTGATTATCCAGCATGCTGGGGCTGTCTGATCATCATGAGCAGAGCAGCCCCGAATAACCAAAGGTTAGGATTTATAAAGGCAAAAACCGCAAAACCGGGAAGGGGAAGAGAATACACGGTTGTTAAGTGGTTGCTAAAGTCTTACAATCAGCAATTATGATCTTAAGACATAGACAAATCACATCTTCATTATTAGCCCAGGTAACCCAGGTGCAACCTTTTTACTTTTAAGCTTGAGCAATCATGCTAGGGGGTTTTTGTGCGTTGCCAAGGGTGATGTAGTGCACTGCTATTGTCCGATTATTTGAGATCATAGTTTCAGACCGGAGTCTCACGGTGGGGGGGTTCTTTCCCAGAATGCAGTCTCAAGTGCTCCAAAATGGAGTCCCTACTGTCAAGGTGCTACTTCACTCTGTTTTATTTTTACAGCTGCACCAGGAAGGTTTAAACCTGTAAGCTTAACTTTTTACACCCACACATATACAATTTTAACTCTTCAACTTCTCTCCCTTAATAGTAGTAAACAGCTTTAACAACAGATCCTGACTTGACCCCTTTTAGGTTGGTGTCTTACTATACTTCAGACCTGAATGAATGAAAGAATGATCCAGTTCATGAGCTAGACTCCATACTGAAGCTATGTCTCAAGCTCCTATTAGAGTTAAGTCAGAAATTCACTTAGTATTTTGGGATGCCTAATGTCCAAAGTCCTCCATGTGATAGGCCACATCCTCACTAGATCCTACTTTAGCTTTCTCAGCTTCACTTTATTTAAAATTTGCTCCATATTGCCTACATCAGAATGTTTATTTTCTTGCTATTTCCATGCATGGTTCCAATGTCTTCCCCTTTCTCCATCTGAAAAATTGCTGCTCAGCCTTACAGAGTCCTGTGTGAAAATTATCTCCTTATGAAAATGTCTCCACCTTCTCCCTGTTGTATCCAGTCCTTGGTCAGAATTACCTGCATTGCTCTCTGTGTTCCTATAGCAATTTATTTCTAACTATAGAACACTTAAAACATTGTGTTATATGGAATTGTTTATATGTGCCCTCTATTAACCTCTGTAAATCATAACAAAGATTTTTATCTGACCAGTGCCTCTCACTGAGTACCTCAGTTAATGAGAAAAAAATGAAATGGCATTATTGTTTATACACATTTCTAATGTAAGTGGATTATTGGTGTCTTTGAAGCATTTTAAGTTTCTTTGCTTTGCATTTTACTTTACTTTGGCTTTATGGGCTAAAACGAAGACTTACTTTTGTAATCATGTTAAAATAAATTTAACATGAAAACTATGCCAAGCTATATCATCATAAGAGCTAAAAAATGATTCTGAATATTAGTGGATTTTTAAAAAGTTTAATTTATTTGCATCTACTTGAAAGGCAGAGAGAGAGAGAGAGAGAGAGAGAGAGAGATCTTCCACTCACTGGTTCACTCCCCAAACATTAGCAACAGCCAGGGCTGGATCAGGCTGAAGCCAGGAGAACCAGGAACTCCATCTGGGTCCTCCAGATGGGTGTCAAGGACCCAATCACCAGAGCCGTCATCATCTGCTTCCCAGGATGCACCAGTGAGAAGTTGGACTAGAAGCAGAAGAGCTGAGACCCCAACTGGCACTTCAGTGTGGGATGCAGGTGTCCCAAATAGCAACAGCTCAACTGAATGCTACACGATGCCGATGCCCTGACTGTGAATATTAATGGTTTAACAATAGAGGGCCGGCACTGTGGCTTAGTGGGTTAACGCCCTGGCCTGAAGTGCCGGCAAAGCATAGGGGTGACGGTTCAAGACCCAGCTGCTCCACTTCTGATCCAGCTCTCTGCTCTGGCCTGGGTAAGCAGTAGAAGACGGCCCAAGTCTTTGGGCCCCTGCACCCAGGTGGGAGACCTGAAAGAAGCTCCTGGCTCCTGGCTTCGAATCAGCACAGCTCCGGCTGTTGTGGCTAATTGATGAGCTGGATTGGAAGTAGAGCAGTTAAGACCTAACCGGGGCGGGTGCTGCAGCTCACTGGGCTAATCCTCCACCTTGCAGCGCCGGCACCCCAGGTTCTAGTCCCGGTCGGGGCACCAGATTCTGTCCCGGTTGCCCCTCTTCCAGGCCAGCTCTCTGCTGTGGCCAGGGAGTGCAGTGGAGGATGGCCCAAGTACTTGGGCCCTGCACCCCATGGGAAACCAGGAGAAGCACCTGGCTCCTGCCTTTGGATCAATGCGGTGCGCCAGCCGCGGCGGCCATTGGAGGGTGAACCAAAGGCAAAGGAAAACCTTTCTGTCTGTCTCTCTCTCTCTCACTGTCCACTCTGCCTGTCAAAAAATTAAAAAAAATAAAAATAAAAATAAAAAAACCTAACCGGCACCCATATGGCATTGACATTGCAGACATGTAGAGGCTTAACCTGGTTTGCCACAATGCTGGACCCTTTTCAAGATTTTAAGATGGTAAGTCCTATCTTTTTCCAATCATGCAAACATATAATGACTTAGAGTGCTTTTTTTGTACAGCTTTTTGCTGACATTAGTCGCCTTGTTTTGTTTGGTCTATACAACAAATATTCAGCTAGACATTACAAAGACCTACAACTATCTTTTATTTAAATGTTAAGGAATTGAATATGTCTACACTAAATATAAGATTTATGAAACATAAAACTATGTTGAACATAATTTAATTTTTCTATTCTAAAATCAATGTAGGATAATAGTTGGATGTGTGGGGTCCAGAATCAAATTAAGCTTGAAACTATAATCCATAGTCAAATATTTCCCAGATGTGTGATATTAGGAAATTATTTAAACTTTCTGAGACACAGATTCTTATAAGTGGGAATTGTAAAGTAGAATCTATTTCATACATGGTATGAATGTAATGCAATACACTATGGAAAATACTTAGGAGATTTCTGGGCATGTAAGTCAGTGTACATAATATTTTTTAGACTTTTATAGTTATTAATATTGAACTGGCAGAATGCTGAAGCAGCTCCTACAGATTCAGAGGAAGTTGATTGTCAGTGTCTCTTCTTAACCACGCATCTCAGTGACTGCGTGTGGGTAGTTCAGAGTAGGCTATGATGGAAGTATTTACCTCGTTGAAACCAGCAAATGTTACAAGTTAAAGATTTTTCCAAAAATTTCTCCCTAGAAAGCCAATTGTTAAACAATTATTTGCACAGTACGGCATCAAATCCTGTCTTTCAACACTTCAGCTGTATTACTATGTAAATCTATTCTTACTACAGGGTTGTAGCTATAGTGAACTTGGCAGTTTGTTACATATCATTTGGCTAAGGTCAAAGTTAGACAATTAGGTTATCTCTGTATTTGATGCCAGGATATGTTTTTAATAAATACTATTAGCTTATTTTCTTTTCTTTAATAGAAAACTTTTATTTAATAAATATAAATTTTGAAAGTACAACTTTTGGATTATAGTGGTTCTTCCCCCCCATAACCACCCTCCCAACCACAAACTATCCCATCTCCTACTCCCTCTCCATCCCATTCTTCATTTGATACACTTATGAGTGGAGAATCCAAAGTTTCTAATCTACAAAAATAGTAATTGAGTATTTTGAGTTTGCTTATAGTTTAAAATTTCATAGTAGAGATAGATTCAGTTTAAGGGGAAAACAATATATCAAAAATGCTTTCTCTGTAATAATCTAGGGCAAAGTATAGCTACTTCCCACTATCAATCAATAATCACTAACAACTTACTGGTAACACAGTCTTCGATCTACTTTTTAAGTATATGACTCTCATCTGATGATTTGATTAAACTCTGCTTTTATTTGCTGAACATCTATTACATGTAAGGAAACATGTCTGATGCTAAAGTAAATATTATGACATGTAAAATATAATCTTTGTCCTAAAGCACTGCATTCTAACAATAAATACAAATACAAAACAATTATTGATAATCCATGACCTTGTTAATCATGCCATTCATTACTTTGTCCTAGCTATATTCCCACCTTCATTCTCCTTATCTTCTTTCACTTATACCACCATTCAAAATTACTAGTAATTCCCCAAACATCCATTTTTATTGGTTTTTTTGTTTAATTCAAAACATTGTTATTGAGCATCTGTTATATACCAAGTGCTACATTAGATATCAGACGTGATCTTTTTTTTTTCAGGTATCTACAGTATAGTGGGGAGACAGACATATAACTGTTTTGAACATTTGTGAATAATGACTATTTCAAACATTTGTGAATATTGTCCTTTTCATTTACATTTCCTATTGAATGAAAGAAGGAGATAATGGGAAGGAGGGGAGGAAGGAAACATGGATTCTGGATCCCAAACTGCCTGGGTATTAACCCTAGTTCCACCACTTCCTGTCTGTGTGACTTCGGACAATTTTCTTAACACTATGTGCCTCGTTTTTCTCATCTGAAAATGAGAATGATAGTAATAGTATCTGCTGCATTTGGTAGTTATAGGATTTTAAGAGATAATATAGGTAAACACTAGAGAAATGCCTTTGCATGGTACTATAAAAGTGTTAATAGTAATTCTTTCATTTCTTAAGCCATTCTGAAATAATAGGACTCCTTAGATCATCCTTAGAGAGAATCATTGAGGAATGCATTCTAACCCCCTCCACACTCTTCTCTGACTTGTCAAATGGCTAATTTTTTCTCTTTGCTTCATGGGAGCCCCATACTTTACCACACAGGCAATTTTTTCTCAAAACATTTAACTTAAAAGGAAAATATAAGTCAGTCATTGGATATTTCCAATAAGTTAAATATGTTCATTGCTGTATAGATATCACTCTGCTTTTCAAATATATTATTCATTCTGCCTTTGAATGTGTCTATTATGCATATTTAGTCAATAATTCTTCTCTAAGAATAATTAATTGGAAATTTTTATAACTATGTGTCCTGATTTTTTTTCTGCCTCAGTTCTAATCATTTAACAGTTTGTTTTAATGGCTTTAAATCTACTCAAATAAGCCCCTCATTACCAAGGAGTCAAAGGCATTTACTCTTCTCTGAAAACCACAGTTTTTACTGAATGAAATAGTCAATAAATGCTAGTTTGTATTATATATTCAATAATATGGTATACAAAGAACTCATAACTCAGAAACAAAGCATTGGTAAAATCAAACATTTAATAACAATTTAAAGTGTGAAAAAAATGTAACAGTTAAATGGATTCTAGAAGTGATACATATATACTTTCTTTTCATATGAGCTAAGTTATTGAGGATTGGAGTGGGTCTAAAGGAATCATAGAGAATGTTTATGATTTGGATTGTAGCAAAATAATAGAATGTATTCCAGATAGAAATGAGCACATGAATAAATGCATAGACAAAAGTACATGATATGTTTAATCAATAGTAAGTAGACAATTGTGTTTGGGACAGAATGTTTGCATAAGGGGGAAAAAGAATATACACAGGAAATAGATGGAGGTCAGGATATTCAGAACTTTTAACTATAAGCTAAGAAATTGTGGATGTTATGCCATAAATGACTCTGTGAATCATGCACATGAAAGTTCTGAAGAGGTGGTTTCTGAGGAAGTCAAACAGCCCAGGGCTAGACCAGTCAGTCACAGGTGATCAGCTTACCTGGAAATAGGTGTGATAGCTACACACTTGCAACCTACTTCTGGGTTGCTGGTGGACATGAAACATGCACAATATTCCATAGCTGGAAGGATATTTTACAATTATAAGCATAAGATTTTATATTTGAAGTGAAGACATTATCTGGGACATGATATATAGGTTTTTTAAAAGGTCAAATTTCAGTGTCTTCATAGCTTTTTTTTAAACCAAGTTAAAGGGCACCTTCACGTCCAGTGTATGGCCCTCTTGAAACAAGATCCCATCTCCAGTGGAAATCAATGACTCTCTACCCCAGCTAAATGGGAATGCAGAAGTGCATGGCAGACTTCATGGGCCCGAACTTTCTTTGCAGAGCCCAGTGGCTTTGGAGCATCCAATATAACAGTCAAGATTATCTTTAGGGGTTGCTTTTCTGGGGATTTTAAGAACTGTAGTAACTGCTTGGGTTATTTCCAGTTCAGGGAGAATGTGGGAAGGTATGCAGCTGTGAAATGTTTTGTTATAGAGTGGTAATCCTTAAGGAACTTAGACTGTAGACAAAACACACCCCCAGCGCAGTTCTGTTTGCTCTCTGTTGCTGGAGGAGTAAAGTTTTACACAGCAAGTGCAGGGCCTCTCCGGCTTCAAGATGCCTGTATTAGGAACTTTATTAGCCCTTCTTTCTCCTTCTTGCTGTTGAAAACTAAGTTCTGAAATATAGTTTACTGTATCTTCCATCACAGAAAACTGTGTTCCTCACACAAGGCAAAAATATTCAACAGTTGGTTTTAGTCTGTTATATAACTTTGTTGTATATCAAACTAATTTCTACAAGTTTTTCATCCTAAACCTCAAATCACATAATTAATAATTTGCCTGTTTATTTATGACCTAATTGTGATTCTTTTATTAGTAAAAGCTATGGAAAAGGACCCTTTATTAAGTTGATGACTAGACCTACATTTACTTTTCCTGCAGTATATGAAGAAGTATTGCACCAGAATATTAAAAGATATGTAATATTTTATTGATAAATATATCCTTTAAAAGGAGTACATTTTAGGACATCATCATTTTGATGTGAATGTAAGTGGCTATTTATTATACATTTAGTGTTTTAAGAGACTCACCCAATTGCCTTTTTGCCCATATATATTATATAGGCTATTTGGCAATTTTTTAAACAGTGACATTAAAGAATAGTTTATGTAGAGAAACCTTAGTGGTTGTTAATTGTCTCCTCACCTGTATCCATGGGTTAGTTCAATTGCTTTGCTAGTTACAAAGCAGTATCAGAGTAAAAGTGTATTTGTAAACTGTATGGGAACTAAAAATTGGGAATAAAACCATTTTAGTTTTAAAAAAAGATGACTTACCTCAGGAAAATGGTATTTCTAAATTGCATTTTAGGAAAAGTTATATAGCAGCAACATTCAAGATGAACTGGAAATAAGAGAATACCATTCACAGAAAAAAAATTAGTCTAGTCAAGAAGCCATTAAAAATATATAACCAGAAATGTTAAGGATCTGTATGGAGTTTCAGCCATAGAAATGGGAAGGAACAGATTGGAAAGGTATCTTAAGAAATTATCAGGGTGGGTATTTGGCATAGCAGGTAAGATACTTCCTTGGGACACCTGCAGCGTGTATGGAAGTGTCTGGATTCCAGTGTGAGCTCCACTCCTCTTTCCAGCTTCATGTGAATGCAGAACATAGGAGGCAAGTGGTGATGACTGGAGTACATGGATTGCTGCCATCTGCTTGAGTTCTAGGCTCCTGGCTTCAACCTAGCCCAGTCCAGACAGTTGAGGGCATTTGGGAAGTAAACCAGTGGATGGAAGATCTCTATTTGTCTCCACCTCTTTTTCTTTGGCTTTCTGCCTTTCAAATAAAGTAAATGAATAAATAAGTCTTAAGAAATTATCATTAGAACTTGGTTATAGCTTCAGTGGTAGTAAGGAATCAGTGATCACTCAAAGGTTTTGAGCCTAGTTGACAAGGAAAATAAAATCTTTTATTAATAGGAGGAGATAGTAAAGGGTTTGGATTTTTCTGAGAGGGTATCAGAAGGATAAAGTTAAGAAATTGAATTTAGGCATATGGCATTGAAGAAATTTGTAGACTTTTATGGTTCTAGACAGCTAGTTGGGAGAGCAGAAATTGAACTCAACAGTGGATAAAAAATGTAAATGCTGATAATTTTGTGTTAATATCCATATGAAAATGAATGGGGTTTACACACAGATATTTGAATTAGCAGTTAACCCACTGGTTGGGATGCCCACTTTCGCTCTGGATTCTAGTTTCCCACTAATGTCCCACCCTGGGAGGCAGAAGTTAATGCCTGAAGAGGTTGGGCTCCTGCCACCCGTGTGAGAAACCTGGATTGAATTCCTGGCTTCTGGCTTCAGCCTGGACCTATCCCGGGTCTTGTAGGTATTTAGGGAACAAACCAGTGGATGGACAGGCTCGATTCTCGATCTCTCTCTCTCTCTGTCTCTCTCTCTCTCTTAAATAAATAAATGGGGGCACTCTTAAATAAGTAGTGGGGGTCACAATATAAGAACTACATTCTCCCCTCTTTTTCTCGCTGTTACTGCTTTAACTATATATCATAATGGGAAAATGATATAATCTATATTTTGTGATACTTCATGTGCATGATACATACGCATTTTACTGTTTGTAGACATAAAACCATTTTAATGTTTGATTAAATTTTTATTATCATGGGTGGCTTGGTTTTAAAAGAGAATTTCAAATTATATTCTTTCCTATAATGTCATTTGATTTTGACTGTATTGCAAGCAGACAGAATTTTTACTGGGGCATGCCATTATCAAAATGCCATTGATTATTATTAACCCCTTGAAAATATTTTGTTTATTTTTTAATAAGGTAAGTTGTAACTTCCTGACTTTTAAAACTAATTTCATGAAAATTAGATTGAGAATGGATGGAAGCAAAGAATCTTTAAATCAATAGTGTGTAGATTTCAGCCGATGCCGCGGCTCACTAGGCTAATCCTCCACCTAGCGGTGCCGGCACACCGGGTTCTAGTCCCCGTCGGGGCGCCAGATTCTGTCCCGGTTGCCCCTCTTCCAGGCCAGCTCTCTGCTGTGGCCAGGGAGTGCAGTGGAGGATGGTCCAAGTGCTTGGGACCTGCACCCGCATGGGAGACCAGGATAAGTACCTGGCTCCTGCCATTGGATCAGCGCAGTGCGCCGGCCGAAGTGCACTGGCCACGGCAGCCATTGGAGGGTGAACCAATGGCAAAGGAAGACCTTTCTCTCTGTCTCTCTCTCTCACTGTCCACTCTGCCTGTCAAAAAAAAAAAAAAGTGTGTAGATTTCAGCATTACTAAAAACATAAAACATTCAGCATTCCTAAAACATATAAAAAGCATATGACATTCTCCTTAAAAAGAATATAAAGGAAAACTATTTAACCTTTTACAAAGGCCTTAGAAAGCCATGATCAGTTTCAGGGGAGCTACCAACTGGACAGAGAAAAATGAAGTCTAGCACAACCTTCATCCATCAGGAGCAAAACCAGACGAGGCCAGCTACATGAGGAAGAACACAAACGCAGTTCTTGGCTTTTACATTATGACACTGGCTGCCAAAAACCAGACTGGTTCCAGTACATATTGCCAATTGTAATATCTGTAGCCCAAATAAACCTAGAAATTAACTCTCTGAGGTCTAATTTTCTTCCCTTGTTGATGTAATCACATTATTTCATGGGAATTAAATGAAACATCAAGCTGTTTTTTATTTAAGAATTGGTAAGAAATATTACAGCTATACAAATAAGCAATGTACCGTAATCTGAATCTTCCTATGGAAATCTGCTACTTCGTTATAAAATTCCTTATTCAGGGGTACAAGTTTTACGGGACTCTAAAATACCACACTATAGTGTAGAGGTTGGGGGATCCCTTTGATCTGCAGATGCTTGGAGATGGGGAGGTCTTTGTTAGCAAGGACCTTGCCCTGCTCAGACTCATTTAAATGGTCCTATTCCACTCACTGACTGACAGCCCCACTCCCTACTCACCTTACAGAATAGCAGCATGGGCATACCCACTGAAAAGTAGAATCCTCCACTCTCTGAGGAAAATAATTTTGACATAAATTTGAGATGATTCATCTTTGGCATCATTCTGCTCACTTATAGTATTTGAATAAAATTCAGCACCAAATAACGGCCTGCTCCTTGCAGAGAAGAAAATAAAAAGCACACTCACCTGACAGCAGCAGACACATGGTGTCTCAACTCCCTTAATTTCCTGGAGAAGGCCTTCTTAACTAGTTTTGTTTGTTTGTTTGTTTGTTTGTTTGTTTTTGACAGGCAGAGTGGACAGTGAGAGAGAGAGACAGAGAGAAAGGTCTTCCTTTGCCATTGGTTCACCCTCCAATGGCTGCCGCAGCTGGCACGCTGCAGCCAGCGCACCGTGCCTATCCGATGGCAGGAGCCAGGTGCTTCTCCTGGTTTCCCATGGGGTGCAGGGCCCAAGGACTTGGGCCATCCTCCACTGCACTCCCGGGCCACAGCAGAGAGCTGGCCTAGAAGAGGGGCAACTGGGACAGAATCTGGTGTGCCAGCACTGCAAGACGGAGGATTAGCCTACTGAGCCGCAGCGCCGGCCCTTAACTAGTTTTAAAGTGACCCTCCAAGTTATGTTAGTGGCTGTTGCACAGACACTGACCCTCTCGGTGAACACTAGTAGTCCCTAAATAGCTAAGTAGAGCAGAGTTATTCTTTCCTCTAGATCTAAGAGACAAATTGGTCACACCGCTTTTAGGATAAAACAAGTACAAGCTTAAGTCATATCATGAAAGGCCCATTCTCTTTGATAGATGTATTACAGTCAATAATAGGAGAAAGAGCTTCAATCTATTTACAAGTGTTCAGGAAGGGCTATGTTTAAAAATGCATATCGAATCCCTATAGACCAAAGACCAAATTTTAGCTTTCCTAAAACTGACCATAATCCACTAGATTCAAGCAACTTAATTTTTTTATTTATTTGAAATGCAGAGAGGCAAAGACAGAGATCTTCCCAACTGTCCACAATAGCTGGAGCTCAGGGAGGTTGAAACAGGGAACTCAATCTGGCTCTCTCATGTGGGTGACAGGGCCTGAGTACCAGCGCCATCATTGTTGCCAGCCAGAATGTACATCAGTAGGAAGCTGGAATCTGAAGTAGAGCCAGGACTTGAACCCAGGCCCTCTGATAGATGTACATGTCTCAAGCAGGATCTGAAGTGCTGTACCAAAAAGTTTCCCCAAAAGTGGTAGCCATGCTTTCAAGTATCAATTACAATTTTTTCTTTCTCCTTTCTTTTACTTTTTTTTTAAGGAATTCCCAAATCCAACTATCTTTTTTTTCTAAGCTTTATTTTTTAATTTGATAGGAAGGGTTACAGACAGAGAGGAGGAGACAGAGAGGTTTTCCATCTGTTGGTTCACTCCTCAAATGGCACCAGTGGCTAGAGCTGGACCGATCCAAAGCCAGGAGCCAGGAGCTTCTTCCAGGTCTCCCACATGGGCGCAGCGGCCCAATCACTTGGGCTATATTCCACTAGTGTTTCAGTCCATTAGCAGGGAGCTGCATCAGAAGCGAAACAGCTGGGACTCCCATATGGGATGCCGACTCCGCAGGCCGAAGTTTAGCATACTACGCCACAGTGCCAACCCCTCAATCTTTTATTGTTTCATTAAAATATCACAGATGAGGCTTTTACTTTGAGTTCTTGTTTCTATAGCTGGACTTTTAGATCCTATTCATCAGCCTACTAAATAGCTCCTTTTTCAGCGATATAGATGTCATCCAAAAACTTTCTGATATCCTTATTTTTTCTGTTGTTGCATGCTGAATCAAAGAAATGGAATTTGAAACAAGTTCAATGTCGTTTCCTTCAAGGATTATCTCATCTTTCTGGGCTTGAGATACTGAACAGGTAGCAACTGACCTCATCTGAAACCTACTATGCACTTTTTTTCTGTATCCCTTCAGATTGACATCGATATTTTCCAGCAACACAAAAATCTGAATGCTGAGAACGATCTTCATTCTCGCAGTAGGTGTGGCAAACAGACTCATTTTTCAAGGAGTAAAACGATGCATAAAATGTTTTAATAATGTTTCCAGGTAGCAGAACTTTAATAGTCTATGATCTTTATAGATTTCATCTTTGGACTGTATCCATTTGTGAATGACCCTGAAAGTTATCATGAGAAATGGTAATATGCCATTTTGCTAAAACACAAATGTTAATTTCATGCAACCACGAACCTGGTACTAGTAATTGAATAACAAGGGTCTAGTTAACCGATCACTCAGTCTGTTCAGCTCAACATTGCTCTGCTGTTATTTATCATATCATTAATAATATTTTACAGATAAGCAATAATACAGTCAATTTACCAATACACCAATCTTATACTAGAGTAACGCTAATATACTGCAGAGTCAGGAAGATCTTGAGACACATCCCTCATTAAAATCAGAAAACTGGGGTTAGCATTGTGGCATGGTAGGTAAAAGCCCTGCCTGTGACACCGGTATCACACATGGGTGCCAGTTTGTGTCACGACTGCTCTATTTCCAATCCAGCTCCCTGCTAATGTCCTGAGAAAAGCAGTGGAAGATGACCCAAGTGTTTGTGCCCCTGCTACCCAAATGGGAGACCTGGATGAAGCTCCTGGTTCCTGGCTTTGGCCTGGCCTAGCCCTGGCCATTGCATCCATCTGTGAAGTGAACCACCAGATGGAAGATCTGTGTGTGTGTGTGTCTTGATTAATCCATAGTCAACATGTTTGAGCTTCTAATACTATATTACATTGTACATGATTGGAACTCAGTGAAGTCTATATTCAATGAATAATTCTAAAAACATATGCACTGTGAACCTAAAAGTGCTCTGAAAAATACAGTCTATTAAAAAATTATGCGGGATGGGGCCAGAGCCATGGCTCACTTGGTTAATCCTCCACTGCGGTGCCGGCATCCCATGTGGGCGCTGGATTCTGGTCCCGGTTGCTCCTCTTTCAGTCCAGCTCTCTGCTGTGGCCCGCGAGGGCAGTAGAGGATGCCCAAGTGCTTGGGCCCCTGTGCCCATGTAGGAGACCAGAAGGAGGCGCCTGGCTTCTAGCTTCGGATCGGTGCAGCCATTTAGGGAGTGAGCCAATGGAGGGAAGACCTTTCTCTCTGTCCTCTCTGTCTCTCTGTCTATAATACCTGTCAAATAAATTTTTAAAAAATTATGTGAGGGCCAGTGCTGTGGCGTAAAGGGTAAAGCCACTGCCTGCAGTGCCGGCATCCCATATGGGTGCCGGTTGGAGTCATGACTGCTCCTCTTCTGATCCAACTCTCTGCTATGGCCTGGGAAAGCAGTGGAAGATGGTCCATGTCTTTGGGCCCCTGCACCTGCGTGGGAGACCTGGAAGAAGCTCCTGGCTTGGAATTAGCAAAGCTCAGCTATTGCCGTCATTTGGGGAGTGAAACAGCAGATGGGAGACCTCTCTCTGTGTGTGTCTCTCTCTCTGTCTCTCTCTCTGTCTCTCTCTCTGACTCTCTGTAACTCTACCTTTCAACTAAATAAATAAATCTTTAAAAAATTATATGGATAATTGGCAAGGTGTTATATAAGTCTAAATTTAGAGTATTGCTTAACATTCAGTGTTACTAATATTCTGTTTTATTAAAGCATCTATACACTAGCCTGGGAAGTCTTTAGCAAAATGTGTATTACTTCTAGCAATGGTACCATGATCAGTGTACCTAATCTGATTTTCATGAGCAATGATATTAAAAGTCTCAAAGGAAATTATTTTAAATGAACTCAAAAATAAGGCCATGAATTTAATTCAGTTTTCATTGGAAGAAATGGGCTCAATATCATCTTAGAAGCAAATTATCACAGTTGACTTTTCATCCAGAATTTTACAGATGCCCAAACTCTGGAATGTTTGAACCATGAACACTACTTTTAGATAGATGTTTAATCTTTTCCAATTTATAAGTAAGGAAATCAAACTGTGAATGGAACATAAATAATTTGCCCACAATCACATCCAAAAATTAGTGGTTTATTGTCGAATCCAAGTCCCTTAATTCAAAGTTCATCCATTTTCACAGATGAACACACACATCCATTTGTAGAAAAGAATATCCTTCTATCATCTCATTGCCAGAATATTTCTTATTGTAAACCTAATTCTGGCATGCTGTGTATGTTAGTTTCCTAGGGCTGATGGAACAAATATCAGTCTTGATGCATTAAAACAACAAAAATTTAGTTCTCCCAGAGTTCTGAAGGCCAGAAGTTTAAACTCAAAGTGTTACCTGAGCTGATCTCTTGGGGACTCTGAGAAACAATTACAGCAGTGTCCTCTACTTGCTGCCATGGTCGCTGGCAATCTCCACTGTTGTTTGGCTTGTCCGTGACTCAGATCCTGCCTCCACAGCCACCTGGCATTCTTCCTAAGTGTTTCTCTGTGTCTCTTTTTCCTCTTCTCATAGGGATACCCGTTATTCAGGATTAAGGACCCACTCTAATCAACATAACCTCATTTTAACCTAATTACATTGCAAAGAACTTATTTACAAATAAGATCACTTTCTGAAATACTGGGTGGGCTTAATTGTGTCCCCATGAGGTTTTAGGAAGAAGTCTTCAACCCAGTACACTATCACATCTAAACGGTGATGGGTAAGATTTTTTTTTCTTTTCATGAGTCAATTTCCTTATATTGGCTTACAGATTTTTAAAAATATTTCAACACTATAGGGATCATTAGAAAGGATTTTGAATTTGAAGTCATTGTTGTGTTTTCCGTGATTGATCAAACCTAAATAATTTGAAATTAGAACACACTTTCCCAGTTTCAGAGTTTGTTAAATACAATGTATTATTTAATCATAAAAATTAACAAAAAGTAGAGAGGTTGAATTTTGTTGTTTTTTTTTTCACCAGAAAAGATATTTTATGTCTATTAAAAATTACATAAGTATTCAGATGCTTGATTTTCTTTTTTTTAAGATTTATTTATTTTTGGCCGGCGCCGTGGCTCAATAAGCTAATCCTCCGCCTGTGGCACCTGCACACCGGGTTCTAGCCCCAGTCGGGGCACCAGATTCTGTCCCGGTTGCCCCTCTTCCAGGCCAGCTCTCTGCTATGGCCCAGGAGTGCAGTGCAGGATGACCCAAGTCCTTGGGCCCTGCACCCGCATGAGAGACCAGGAAAAGCACCTGGCTCCTGGCTTTGGATCAGTGCGCCGGCCGCGGCGGCCATTGGAGGGTGAACCAATGGCAAAAAGGAAGACCTTTCTCTCTGTCTCTCTCTCTCACTGTCCACTCTGCCTGTCAAAAATAAAAAAATAAAAAAAATTAAAAAAAAAGATTTATTTATTTGAAAATCAGAGATACAGAGAGAGAGAGAGAGATCTTCCCTGGATGACTACAATGGCCAGGACGGAAGCAGGCCAAAGCCAGTAGCTAAGAGCTTCATCCAAGTCTCCTAGGTGGGTTTCAGGGACCCAGACACCTGGGCCATCTTCTGCTGCTTTTCCCAGGCCATTATCGGGGAGCTGGACTGGAAGTGGCGCAGTTGGACCCGAACTATCTCCCATATATAATGTTGGGACCAGCATTGTGGCACAGGGGGTTAAGCCACCAAGTGCACTAGCAGCATCCCATATCCGGGTGCCAATTTGAGACCCAGTTATTCCACTTCTGATCCAACATCCTGCTAATGTGCCTGGGAAAGCAGTAGAAGATGTTCCAAGTATTTGGACTCCTGCCCACCATATTGGAGACCTGGGGAGTTTCTATTCTTTGCTTCAGCCTGACCCACATCTACCTAATTGGGTCCATTTTGGGACTGAGCCACCAGATGGAGATGTCTCTATGTCTCTCCCTCTCACTTTGTTGTACTATCTTTCAAATAAATAAATATTTTTAAAAAAATAAAAAAATTTTTAAAAGATAAAGATATCAATACTGTTAAAGCTAAAACAATTTGATAGATAAATTTGTGAGGGAATTGCAATGCAGATTACACAGGGATGGATTAAAAAAACATACTCTTTTTTTAAGAGAAAATGATCAGAGTCAGTGAACTCAGGGGGCTTCCATAGCCTTGGCAACTCATGACAAGAGCCTAGGGTGATTACTGATGCCATAAACAAGAGTGTCAATTTGTTAAGTCAACAACAGGAGTCACTGTGCACTTACTCCTCATGTAGGATCTTTGTCCTTAGTGTGCTGTACATTGAGATCTAATGCTATAACTAGTACTCAAACAGTATTTTTCACTTTATGTTTCTGTGTGGGAGCAAACTGTTGAAATCTTTCCTTAATGTATGCTAAACTGATCTTCTGTATATAAAGAGAATCGAAAATGAATCTTGATATGAATGGAAGGGGAGAGGGAGTGGATAAGGGGAGGGTTGCGGGCTGGAGGGACATTATGGGGGGGAAGCCATTGTAATCAATATTCTGTACTTTGAGGCCGGTGCCGCGGCTCACTAGGCTAATCCTCTGCCTAGCGGCGCCGGCACACTGGGTTCTAGTCCCGGTTGGGGCGCCGGATTCTGTCCCAGTTGCCCCTCTTCCAGGCCAGCTCTCTGCTGTGGCCAGGGAGTACAGTGGAGGATGGCCCAGGTGCTTGGGCCCTGCACCCCATGGGAGACCAGGAAAAGCACCTGGCTCCTGGCTCCTGCCATCGGATCAGCGCGGTGTGCCGGCCACAGCGCGCCAGCCGCGGCGGCCATTGGAGGGTGAACCAACGGCAAAGGAAGACCTTTCTCTCTGTCTCTCTCTCTCACTGTCCACTCTGCCTGTCAAAAAATAAAAAATAAAAAATAAAAAAATATTCTGTACTTTGGAAATTTATATTCATTAAATAAAAGTTAAAAAAAAAGCTGAAAAAAAAACATACTCTTGGAACACATATAAATATCCTATCTTTAAAATCCAACTCAAGGGACCAGCATTGTAACACTTGTTCATGTCCTGGCTGCTCTCTCCAATTCCAATGCAAATCTCAGCTAATGGCCTGGAAAAGCAGTGGAAGATGGCGCAAGTGCTTCAGCCTCTGCCACTTATGTGGGAGATCCAGATGAAACTCCAGGCTCCTGGTTTCATCCTGGCTCAGTGTTGGCCATTATGACCACTTGGGGAGTCAACTAGCAGATGGAAGACCTCTCTCTCTCTCTCTCTCCTTTCTTTCTGTAACTCTGCCTTTCAAATTTCAAATAAATAAATCTTTAAAAAAGAAATATATACTTCTAGGCATTACTAAGTGAACTAATGCACATATCAACTAGCCTTTTGTTTATGTATTTATTTCATTTGAAAGGCAGAGAGACAGAGAGAAAGACAAAGAGATCAGACAGAGATCTTGCATCTGCTGATTCACTCTCCCAAATAACCACAGCCAAGTTTAGGCCAGGTTGAAATCAAGAGCTTGACATTCCACTTAGGTCTCCCACATTGGTGGCAGAGACCCAAGTACTGGAGCCTTCAACTGCTGCCCCACAGGGTGCACATTAGTAAGAAGCTAGATCAGAAGCAGAGTGGCCAAGATTCAAATCAGGCATTATGATATGGGATGTGAGCATACAAAGCAGTGACTTAACCACAGTGCCAAATGACCTCCTCTCAACCTGTCCTGTAAAGCTACATCTGAGAGAAGTTACCAGTAAGTAAGTAGGTATTCAAAGGTCCTAAAGGAAATGAAAACTCAATTCTGTTGGAAAACTCTGGAACAACTAGTTCTCTCCCAAAGTAGGGATAAACAACAAAACAATATGGCACTTACTCATTGAAAATACAAAGACCAGAAGGAACCGTTGCTCTAGAAACTCATTGTAAAATATATTTATAAATCTAATATATGAGAAACAGTAGGGAGTTTTAAGAGACAGTTGTTTTGCATCTTCATTT